TATCCCAATAGGCTTTGCAATCTTTCACAAACCTCTCTGTTTGAGTGCCGCTCATGATTTTTGTATGCAGTTTGTACCTATAGTGTATCCTTCCCTAGATGCAAAGAGTAAAAATTCCTCAGGCACTCACACCAGGGAGCTGAAACATGGTGGCCATCCTGGAACCTAGATCTATTCTAGGAAGAGAATTTAGCAATTATAGGGGTGAGGGAATCCATGGTGGCAGCATGTTCCTCAGATGACCTTGCACGGGAAGCATGCTGTGACTAGGTTCCTAGGGGCCTTGAACATTCTCTATCACAGAGCCAGTGACTGTGGAGCAAGGGGCAGGAAAGAGACACATTTTTCCATTGCAGGGTCTCTGGCTACTACAAGTCTCCAGCTCGGATTCTGACTGTGTATTCTAAGAACACACCAAAGGTTCCAATGGGAAGGAAGGGCTCTGTGGCACAGTCCAAGGAAAGCTGTAGATTTGCCTCTAATGTGACAAGCCCAGCAAAGTGGCCACAGGTTGGCTGGCGACAATACTGAACAAGAGCACAGCCGTTGGAACACCCCTACTTCATTCCCCTGCCTTTTCTTGCAGTTTGATATTCCAGTTCTGTCAGTTCATCTCCAACTGACGTCATTGCAGAACCATGCTGTCCTAGCTATCAAGAGCACACTCTCTCTTAGTATGCCACAGGAAGATTTAGGATGCACTCCTTCACCCTCAACAGCAAACGATGCATGTTTAAAGGGTAGGCTGTCATCCAGACATGTCTTTTACAGAGTCCTAATGCTGTTACCAGCCCACAGTTCAGGCTCTGGGACAGGGAGAGTCTTTCAGATGACAACCACCAGGGGGCACTGGCATTGGGGATCACCCACACAGGCAGCCTCTGGGGTGTGTTCCATGGTCAAGTCTGCAGATTGCACCACCCAGAGCTGCTCTACTTGGGGAGCTTGAGCCTCCGTCCCAGTGCTGATCTCCAGAGCTGCTTCTGACTCTTGTGGGCTCTTGTGACTATTGTTCCCTGAACTTCATCAGTGAGCAGGGAAGGTGGACATGCAACTCAGAAGGCAAAGGAGGCACCCAAGCTCAATGGCAAACAGGAAGTATCACACGTTGAGGCTGGGGAGGTAAGTTGCTTCTGGTGCTACACAGACTAAGTAGAATATGAGCCATTTGATTATTTTTCATTCTGCACAGTTTCTATTAAGTACTGTTTTCACAGAGAGCCGTGCTGGATTCCAGTTCCACAGACTTTACAGAAAGCAGGCAATCCAGTCATAAGCAGCAGGGGTTTCAGTGTTTCAAACACCATATAGAGTCAATCTTACAAACAAACTGGTGAAACTGCAACTGTAATGAGAAACACCATAGGGAGCCTCCCAGCCGAAAGCCAACTCGCCAAAGAACTGTGGCTGTACAGTGTTCTAGAGTGAAATTCTCATCTGTGTACTTGGCTCGTAGGCAGCCAGGGAGGTTCCTGAAAACCGTCAGAGCCCAAGAAGGCAGAGGACCCTCAGGTGTTGGTGGGAGAGGGACTCAGTGCCTTGTCCCTAAAAGAGTCAGTCAGTAGGACAGTGTGGGTTATCCAAATGTTTTAATGTAGTTTTAAGCCAGATAGAATTCAGACTTTGTACTCAGTTGTTTGGGAAAGAGCAGACACCAGTACCATAGGTACAGGAAGCTGTGTTCAAATCCTTTTGTATTCTGTTCTTGCTCATGGTCAGGAAGCCTGAGCTGCAGTGTGTCTTGTAGCTCACTGGGTACAGCCAGTCTTGGTTTTCCTGAACCACTGTAACTCTCCTGAGCTGTGGGAGGTTTTCCTTGAGTGTTCAGTGAGGTGATGACATTCAGTTAGATGGCCTTCAAGGCTTCCTCTACAGGATTCATGAAGACAATGAGGTGATGGACTGGAGAAATGGTTCAGTGGGTAAAGCACTCGTCACACAAGCGTGAGGACCCAAGTTCAAATCCCCAGGGCCCATGTAAAGTTTGATGCAGTGGTGTGCGCCTTGTAACTAGTATTCCTGGGGTGAGAAGAGAGGTGGAGGCAAGACAGTTTCTACAAGCTCACAAGCTCTACGAGCTAGCCTGGGATAGGCAGAAATAAACAAGTGGAGATGATAATCAACAAGGTTGTTATCTTCTGATCACTACACAAATTCATGGCACATGTGCACACACTGGAAGATAAAACAGTTGTTTCCAAGCCTCGTGTATTAGAGGCAGCTTTAGCAGGAAGGGCTTCTGAGCATGAGTAAACCACGCAATAAAAACTACTGGACTCTGCTGTGGTTTTTCCCAATTCCTTCATCCTCCGCTGCCAGCTGGCTTGGGCAAGCGTCTGCCTACGAGGATTGGGTGACTGCCATTTTCCGAAGAGTGTTCTTTGTATTGTTTCTAATGGAGACCTCTGGTTCTAGAGGAAAGCTTGGCATAGAAACTGGGCTTGTTGATTCTTTGAAGAGGATCTAGAGTCTAGAGTCCAGACTATGCTGCAAAACCCCAGGTGCCCCACCCCTGAGTCTGGAAATGAGCAAGACTAATACACTCACCGTTCGAGAAGGGGATGAGCAAAGGCTGAGAGCTTTGGTTCAGGGGCCTGAGTTGCTCCACTGATGGTGGACATGGATGTGCTTACTTTCAGTCTCCTAGACCCCGATTATTTCTTTATAACAACACAGTTTTGTGGTCGCCGATCGCCAACCTACACCCAGTGAGGTCCTGCACTTGCCAGGTGCTGTACTAGCTCTTCTGCTTTATCTCCAACAAAGCTTCTTCAGATGGCGTCATTGTTCTCCTTTTATATATGGGGAAACTGAGGGCATCAGAAGTTGCACCATGTACCTGATAGAGCCAGACTTGAGACCTCCCTTTCCTTAGAGTCTCACTAAATGATGACAGAATGTTGTCAGACATGAAGCCTCCAAAAACCCAACTTTGTCAAAGATGCATGTATGGATGGTGTGTGTGTGTGTGTGTGTGTGTGTGTCTGTCTGTCTGTCTGTCTGTCCCTGTGTGTATGTGTGTGTGTATGTGTGGTGTGTGTATGTGTGTGTGTGTGTGTGTGAATGTGTATGTGTAGTGTGTGTGTGGTGTGGTATGTGTGTCCCTCCGTATTTGTATGTGTGTGTTTGTATGTGTGGTGTGTATGTGTGGTGTGGTATGTGTGTCTCTGTGTATGTATGTCTCTGTGTCTGTGTCTATACATGTC